TCATAAGTTACATTGTAGACCTTTTTGAGACCAAATTCATGTGTGCATAAATTAATCTTTATAAATGTTACAGTGTGTGTGACCCTTTCAGGTTTGGTACTTTAATTACAAAAATTATTAGTGCAATACCACTGAAACTTGTTTAGTCATCAAAATATTGGGGTTTGGTCCCTAGACCCATTATGTGCCTTTGTAATGTTGAGGTCCAGTCTCTGGACCCATTACGTGTCTTCGTAATGTTGATGTTCAGTTTCTGGGCCCATTATGTGCCTTTGTAATGTTGATGTCCAGTCTCTGGACCCATTACATGTCTTTGTAATGTTGATGTTCAGTTTCTGGGCCCATTATGTGCCTTTGTAATGTTGCGGTCCACTCCCTAGACCCCTCATGTGCCACTGCAATTTTATTTACTGCCCAGAAGATGGAAATTGTGCTCTCAATTGTTAGCTAGCAAGCAGTCTATAATATGGTAGTAATTACAGTGGGCCCCACCCAACTTGCTTTCAATAAGCTTTCAATAAGTTATGCAAGCATGGGAGAGCACTTAGTGTTGACCCGAGGTTTGTGGAATGGAAAATATAGCTGCCGAAAGAGAGAACAGAGATGAAGAGTGTTAACAACTCGTCTGTATGACTGACTGGGCTCATACAGTGCATGAAGAATGGGACACAATCAAGGTCTATTGGACATAGCAAGGACAGTGCAGAGGAATCGCTCACAATACTAAAAAATAGTAATAATTACAATTCAGCTCCCCATTCCTCCACCCACAACTGAGTCCAACAAGGGGAGGTATACACATCAAAGCAAATGACCAATGGACTAACAGGTATACCTGAGTGACCACAGAGGACCAAGTAGCAGCCAGTGGACTAACAGGTATACCTGAGTGACCAACAGGGGACCAAGTAGCAGCCACAGGACTTACAGGTATACCTGCATGACCAAGAGGAGCAAGCAGCAGCCACAGTACTAACAGGTACACCTGAGTGACCAACAGTCACTCAGTAACAGGGTGCCCACCCTCTCAGGCTTGCTTGGCCTTAGGCTATAGATCCCTGTCAGGCTGAGCCCCACCCCAGCTATCCATCACTATCCAGACTCACCTTACATGGAAATTTGCCATCCACAAAGTGGACCACTAGCACAAACTCACGATCTGCACAACCAGGCAGTGACAATGTGAGCAGACCAGTAGCCACCCTAATACCAGATAGTGGAAGAGCAATGCAAGGCCAACCAACTGATTTAGTACTGAATTTCTTACTTGACTTCTATCCCAATTTTTTTCCCCGAAATAAGTGTACTGCCCACCCAGTGTCCAGGCATGTGGAAAAATAAGCAGTATACGAGTCACAGTGCACTGCAAATGGACACAGAAGTGCAAATTTTAGCTTTTACAGGTCATGGCCCCAGTGAAGAAGCTGAGGGCCACCCAAACAACTATAACCATCAGCACCACAGTCTCATTGCATTTTTGCATAGTGTGAGACGGACGTGAGAAAAAGAATGAATAGATAAATGTTCCAATTATTAGTCCAAAAAGGGAGAAATGGGTTGTGGTAATAAGATCTGAACTAGGTGAAGGCAAGAAAGATCTAATTCCTTGGACCAAGAGCTTTTCACTTTGGTAAGGAACCCCCCCCCCCCAAGTGTTACATTTCATAAAAGATCTGTATGACAACACAACACTTGTGAGTGTAAACTTAGTACACAATAGCATGATAATGTAGCATCCAGCTATGTACAGTACAGTACACTGTTAAGTCTATATTACCATTACATCTATGTTAACGTTTGTACACAATATACAGTGGACCCCCGGTTAACGATATTTTTTCACTCCGTAAGTATGTTCAGGTGCCAGTACTGACCGAATTTATTCCCATAAGGAATATTGTGAAGTAGATTAGTCCATTTCAGACCCCCAAACATACACGTACAAACGCACTTACATAAATACACTTACATAATTGGTCGCATTCGGAGGTAATCGTTATGCGGGGGTCCACTGTAATTTACATCATGTGTCAGGTACACTACCTACCTTTCTTAGCTCAATTATAATGGAAGAATTTTATTAATATCTTCTCATTCTAATTTCCAGGTACCTTTAGTATAATAATAATAATAACACAGTCATTTTAATCACTAAACCTGTATGGGTTACATAATTGTAGGTAGGGATGTGTGAGGGTACGAGTGTACAAACTAATATAATCATGGAGGGAGCACTATACCATAGGGGTTATGCGGTGAATGGGGAGAATGGGAGGCATTCAAATTTAATCCAAGGAAGGAGAGCATTGGTCCAATACCTTAGACCAGTAGACCATCACTGGCATCAAGGGAAGTGTGTATGAAGGTTAGATGTGTACAAGAGGTGGGGGCATCAAGGAACCTATCATGACAGGAAGTGTGTGTGAAGGGTGAAGGTTATGTGTGTAGTAATATAATTTAGCACAACACTCAGGGCTGTACTGTGATCCATTTTCTTATATTTCTTAACAATGACCAGTAGCAGTAACTTTTAACTTCAAAATGGTATACAACACCGACAGGTTGTTAGGTAAGACACATATGCAACAGTTAGACAACCTTATTCCGAAACGTTTCGCCTACACAGTAGGCTTCTTCAGTCGAATACAGAAAGTATTCGACTGAAGAAGCCTACTGTGTAGGCGAAACGTTTTGGAATAAGGTTGTCTAACTGTTGCATATGTGTCTTACCTAACAACTTTTAACTTCAAACACTCTCAGACGTCAAGATTTTTATTAAAACCAGACTGTGCAACCTTCTATATACATTTTGTGAACCAATTTTTCTTTCATAAAATTTTTTTTATCTCTGTCAATAGAAATTAACATATAATGATAATTAAAATACATATACATATTAGTATAATTTTTAGTTGAAATTAAGGGTTTATAAATTTTTGCTCAGACAACAGTCTCTTGATAATTAAAATTGTTGTCTACTACAAAAATTATACATTACTTATCACTTACTGGAAAAATCCTTCACATAGTAGAGACTGATCCTGCCATCCTACATGACCTTTACACAGTGGAGACTGATCCTGCCATCCTACATGACCTTTACACAGTGGAGACTGATCCTGCCATCCTACATGACCTTTACACAGTGGAGACTGATCCTGCCATCCTACATGACCTTTACACAGTGGAGACTGATCCTGCCATCCTACATGACCTTTACACAGTGGAGACTGATCCTGCCATCCTACATGACCTTTACACACTGGAGACTGATCCTGCCATCCTACATGACCTTTACACAGTGGAGACTGATCCTGCCATCCTACATGACCTTTACACAGTGGAGACTGATCCTGCCATCCTACATGACCTTTACACAGCTGGAGACTGATCCTGCATCCTACATGAACCTTTACACAGTGGAGACTGATCCAGACATCCTACATGACCTTTACACAGTGGAGACTGATCCAGACATCCTACATGACCTTTACACAGTGGAGACTGATCCAGACATCCTACATGACCTTTACACAGTGGAGACTGATTCAGACATCCTACATGACCTTTACACAGTGGAGACTGATCCAGCATCCTACATGGAACCTTTACACAGTGAGACTGATCTGCATCCTACATGACCTTTACACAGTGGAGACTGATCCTGCCATCCTACATGACCTTTACACAGTGGAGACTGATCCTGCCATCCTACATGACCTTTACACAGTGGAGACTGATCCTGCCATCCTACATGACCTTTACACAGTGGAGACTGATCCTGCCATCCTACATGACCTTTACACATGGAGACTGATCCTGCCATCCTACATGACTTTACACATGGAGACTGATCCTGCCATCCTACATGACCTTTACACAGTGGAAACTGATCCTGCCATCCTACATGACCTTTACACACTGGAGACTGATCCTGCCATCCTACATGACCTTTACACAGTGGAGACTGATCCTGCCATCCTACATGAACTTTACACAGTGGAGACTGATCCTGCCATCCTACATGACCTTTACACAGTGGAGACTGATCCTGTCATCCTACATGAACTTTACAAAGTGGAGACTGATCCTGCCATCCTACATGAACTTTACACAGTGGAGACTGATCCTGCCATCCTACATGACCTTTACACACTGGAGACTGATCCTGCCATCCTACATGACCTTTACACAGTGGAGACTGATCCTGCCATCCTACATGAACTTTACACAGTGGAGACTGATCCTGCCATCCTACATGACCTTTACACAGTGGAGACTGATCCTGCCATCCTACATGACCTTTACACAGTGGAGACTGATCCTGCCATCCTACATGAACTTTACACAGTGGAGACTGATCCTGCCATCCTACATGAACTTTACACAGTGGAGACTGATCCTGCCATCCTACATGAACTTTACACAGTGGAGACTGATCCTGCCATCCTACATGACCTTTACACACTGGAGACTGATCCTGCCATCCTACATGACCTTTACACACTGGAGACTGATCCTGCCATCCTACATGACCTTTACACAGTGGAAACTGATCCTGCCATCCTACATGACCTTTACACACTGGAGACTGATCCTGCCATCCTACATGACCTTTACACAGTGGAGACTGATCCTGCCATCCTACATGAACTTTACACAGTGGAGACTGATCCTGCCATCCTACATGACCTTTACACAGTGGAGACTGATCCTGTCATCCTACATGAACTTTACAAAGTGGAGACTGATCCTGCCATCCTACATGAACTTTACACAGTGGAGACTGATCCTGCCATCCTACATGACCTTTACACACTGGAGACTGATCCTGCCATCCTACATGACCTTTACACAGTGGAGACTGATCCTGCCATCCTACATGAACTTTACACAGTGGAGACTGATCCTGCCATCCTACATGACCTTTACACAGTGGAGACTGATCCTGCCATCCTACATGAACTTTACACAGTGGAGACTGATCCTGCCATCCTACATGACCTTTACACAGTGGAGACTGATCCTGCCATCCTACATGAACTTTACACAGTGGAGACTGATCCTGCCATCCTACATGACCTTTACACAGTGGAGACTGATCCTGCCATCCTACATGAACTTTACACAGTGGAGACTGATCCTGCCATCCTACATTACTATCATAAAACTTTACACTATACAGTGGACCCCCGGTTAACGATATTTTTTCACTCCATAAGTATGTTCAGGTGCCAGTACTGACCGAATTTATTCCCATAAGGAATATTGTGAAGTAGATTATTCCTTTCAGACCCCCAAACATACACGTACAAATGCACTTACATAAATACACTTACATAATTGGTCGCATTTGGAGGTAATCGTTATGCGGGGGTCCACTGTACATGTATTTTTCATAAATTTTTATGACACTGTGAAAAGATGTGCTTTTTTGTGAATGATTTTTCACATACAGTTCCTGGAAGACTGATACATCTTTCCTCGGGTAATGCTGATGCATCTTATTAAATCACACGCAGCAATATCTTCTAATCACACTGCATGCTGCCAAGATTTCTCTCCTGTACAACTTCTAACATATAGTAAATTAGATTACTTTGAGAAATCTTTCAGTTCTTATGCGACTTGAATTTTATTTTTGTTACAAGTTTTTAAGAGAGTGTGATCGGGTTTCCTTCATTCAAGGATGAACTATCATGTGATCTATTAAACGACATTTCTGAGAAAAGTCTTTCAGACACCTTGAACATTGATACAGTTTCTCTCCAGTATGAATTCTCATGTGTCTTTTCAAATTAGACTTATCTGAAAAATTTTTCAGACACACTGAACACTGATGTGGTTTCTCTCCAGTATGAATTCTCATGTGATTTCTTAAATGAGGTTTTTGGGAAAAATCTTTCTGACACTCTGAACATCGATATGGCTTCTCTCCACTATGAATTCTCATGTGTATTATTAAACTCTTTTTTCCAGAAAAGCCTTTTAGACACACTGAACATTCATATGATTTCTTTACAAAATGAATTCGCATGTGATTTATTAAATGGCGTTTTTGGGAAAAGCTTTTTCGACACTCTGAGCACTGATATAGTTTCTCTCCAGAATGCATTCTCATATGATTTATTAAATTAGATTTTTGGTTAAAGTCTTTTAGACATAGTGAACAATGATATGGTTTCTCTCCAGTATGAATTCTCATATGATTTACTAAATTAAATTTTTTGGAAAAGCCTTTTAGACACTTTAAACATTCATATGGTTTCTCTTTCTTATGAATTCTCATGTGTCTTATTAAATGAGGCTTCTGGTTAAAGTTTTTTTGACACACCAAACACTGATATGGTTTCTCTTTAGTATGAATTCTCATGTGTGAGATTAAACTAGATTTTTTTAAAAAATCTCTTAGACACACTGAACACTGAAGTGTCTTTTTGCATTTATTAATTCTCAAATGTGATACATGCTGAGATTTTTGTGATAATTCTTCTATATGTTCCGAGTATTCATATAGATTATTTTCCGAATGAACTATAATTTGTGTTGCTTGGTCACATTTGATCTCCAGCATTTTAGACATACTGAATATGCTGATCCAATAATTTTCTAAATGAATTAATTAAAAAAGTGCCTAAGAAAAATAGATTTTTGTCAATGTCTGTTTACAATGAAAACCAGTAATTCTCTAATTCTACATTCTTATAAGCATGGGCAAGCACTAAACCTCTATGGGTTATATATTGCCCTGGAATGGAAGAGGTGTTTGAGGAATGGTAAGAGGGATCTAAATTCTTGTTGAAGATCTCAGCATGATCTTTAATACTGTATACAAGGTTGTTTAAAAAAGTTTTCCCTTCAGTTTTAAAACAATGTATACTGATATAACTGAGGGAATGGGTTAAGCTTAAACCCTGGCGAGGCAGTGCAAAAACTAAAATACTGTCTACTGTAGTCTACATGCCTCCAACACCCTCAAGTTATTACTACAGTCTTGGGACTTCCAATACATTCTGATTATTGATACAACCTTTGTAACAATCACTGGTGTCACAATCATCTTACATCATATAAACTTACTTAAAACATACCTTATAACATGCACACAGAATATTACATAACAAGCACACGAACAAGTCATTTTGGTTTAAATTTTGTATATCAACGAGTGCTGAACGTAGGAATGAATCAAGTTGTCATCAACAATATCGGGTCTTCGTATATTACATTAATTAATTTGATTAATGATGTGGTAGCTCAATAAATATAATTATTCATAAAAAACTGGAACTTTAACAAGTGTCAAACACAGTACTGTTCAATGTTTTTTTAAGTGGGGGAAAAATTAGGTTGATAAAATCATATTAATTCAGGATATATCTGGAAGCACTGTATGAGCCTTGTGGGTTTAGCGCTTTGTTATGATTGTAATAATAACGTCTGGCAGCACTAAGTTAATATAGGGATCTGACAGTGAGAGAGAACAGAGGAATAAAGTGAGGTAGATGAATAAAGTGAGTGAGGTAGATGAATAAAGTGAGTGAGGTAGATGAATAAAGTAAGTGAGGTAGTTGAATAAAGTAAGTGAGGTAGCTGAATAAAGTAAGTGAGGTAGCTGAATAAAGTAAGTGAGGTAGATGAATAAAGTAAGTGAGGTAGCTGAATAAAGTAAGTGAGGTAGCTGAATAAAGTAAGTGAGGTAGATGAATAAAGTAAGTGAGGTAGATGAATAAAGTAAGTGAGGTAGCTGAATAAAGTAAGTGAGGTAGCTGAATAAAGTAAGTGAGGTAGCTGAATAAAGTAAGTGAGGTAGCTGAATAAAGTAAGTGAGGTAGATGAATAAAGTAAGTGAGGTAGATGAATAAAGTGAGTGAGGTAGATGAATCAAGAAAGTGAGGTAGTTGAATAAAGTGAGTGAGGCAGATGAATAAAGTGAGGTAGAGGAATAAGAGATTGAAAATTATTTATCTGACACAGGGTAATTATATTACTATTGCACAAGTCACATAAATAGTAACTTTGACATAACTTATACAGTTAACATTTGCAATACTCAAACTGAAAATATTAATTTTGTCACACTTCATAATCATTCCACTGCAGGTTTAATAATTTATAAGAAAAATATCTTGCTACATCAGAGGTGATGCTGTACATAAAATCTGAATGAGAAGAATGACTGTCAACAGTTTGTTATATTGAAAGCTTAAGTCAATACATGAGATGTAGCACTGTTATCACTGTAATACTGTAACACTTCTTACAGTATCAACTGCATAAGTTGTTGTACACTGTTCTTGTCACTAGAAAAGTTGTATCTCTAATACTGACACAAACTTCCTGATACTGAATCTTGACAAAACAAGTGAAATTTCTATGGCGTCCCGATGGCCTAAAAAAAAAGAAAGTAAACATATTAAAACGATTAAATATAAGAGTTACTTAAAGTTTAGCTTCAAGAACATTCACATTAAGAACACTAAGTATTCTATGTAATACAGGAGGGCCCCACTTTACAGTGCTTCATTAATACAGCAGCTTTCAGTTATACCTACTCTTTATTTATTCAGAATTCCTATAATAAACATATTCACCACTCACTATAAGATAAGGATGAAAATATTTTAAGGTGAGTAATGTGTGTACTGTATATGCATTTTTTAGGCCTAGCTCTGTTTTTATGTATTATTTGTATAAATAAGCCACCATGGGGCCTAGGAAGATTAGTGATAACAGCCAATCAAACAGAAAATTGGTTGGGAAGAACTTGTTCGATACTCAAACGGAGCAGCACTTGAACACCCTTCTGGAATGAATTAAGGTCACTGTATATAAAAGCCTGATAACATGTTTAAACTATCATATATTAACCCTTAAACTGTCCAAACGTAGATCTACGTTTGTGCGCGTAGCTCTCTGACCTTGATTTTCTCCATAAGAAACAGTGTAAAAAAAAACCTAGATCTACTTTCGGAGTGCTACATGTGCAAATGTAGATCTACGTTTCGACAGTTTAAGGGTTAATATATGATAGTTTAAACATGTTATCAGGCTTTTATATACAGTGACCTTAATTCATTCCAGAAGGGTGTTCAAGTGCTGCTCCGTTTGAGTATCAAACAAGTTCTTCCCAACCAATTTTCTGTTTGATTGGCTGTTATCACTAATCTTCCTAGGCCCCATGGTGGCTTATTTATACAAATAATACATAAAAACACCAAAAATGCGAAGAAACACAAAAAAGTTTAAAGTGAAGTTCTGGCAGGTCGTATTTGTTTGGTCGAGTGCTGAACTTTGTTCCTGTAGGGAGCTGGTTGTATACCAAGGTTCCACTGTAGTTGAAAGTGAAAAAACGGTGAAGTTTCACTTTACAACGATTTTCACTTCACAGCTGTAGCCTGAAAAACAACCTGTTGTATAAGCAGGGCCCCCTGTACAACAGTAACCCCAACCTAACTTGCTGTATAAGCAAGGCCCTCCTGTACTGCAGTAGCACAGATCCTAACCTGCTGTATAAGTGGAGCTCTCTTGTACATCAGTAGCCCAAAACCTAACCTGCTGTAAAAGCGGGGCCCTCCTGTACTTGTAGTATAAAATGTAATCTAATTAACACTGATTCTTATACAACTGTTAATATTACTGATGTATAATGTTAACAATAACTGTTAAATAAGTTATGTGTCATTGTTGATTTTTATGAGATGTTCACTTTGGTGTTAACAATATTTTTCACTCTGTTCACAGCAATATCTTCCACTCTGGTGCTCACAGTAATATCTATCATTCATTCTATTAATATTTTTCTAAATTTAGCACTAAATGCCAGTGCGGTCACACAGAGTGGCTTTCAATGTGGTTATAGTGACATCATAGTGTTGCAATAGGTTACGTTCTCTAAAACAAGAAATTACAAGTTTGTACAGGAGGGCCCTGCTTTACAGCACTCTGCTTTATGGTGTTTTGCTAATACAGCAGTTTTCAATTACAGGTCGGCCATCACTAATCCAGCAATCAGTTATCCGGTTCCATCAGTAATCTGGCACTAATTTTGGCTAGCATAATTTCAAATTTCATCATTATATGTACTGACTCAAATCATTATACCGATTCAAATTTCATTATACAGACTCAAATTGTGCAGATGGTTGTAAATCCATAGCAGCAAGCCAGTGGAGGAAAAAGCAATGATGAAAATGAGGAAGATGTAGTAGAAAGTCTCTCTACTGATAGGTTAATTTAGTGTACTCTAACCTGACCACTCTGTAATCCGGCGAACTCAATAATCCGGCACACTACAGGTCCCAATGATGCCGGATTAGTGATGGTCGACCTGTATAAGAAATTCTTCATTTATTCAGACTTCCTACAATAAATATATTCACCACTCACTTTAAGGTAAGGATGAAAATATTTTAAGGTTAAGTAATGTGTATACTGTATATACATTTTTTAGGCCTAGCTCTGTTACTCACTTAATATATGATAATGTAAACGTTATCAAGATTTTATATACATTTGAAAGTAATGTTTCACTTTGCAGCAGTAGCCTGGAAACTAACCTGCCATGTAAGTGGTGCTCAACGGTATTAAAGTAGGGATGCTGAGCACAGAAGACAGATTAAAGTAAGCACCCCAATGGAAATAAGTCACTTTTTTTGGGTTATCCTAGGTAATCTACACATATGCTGCTATGTAGGATAATTTATGTAACTGTATTTATGTGCACCTGTACCTGAATAAACTTACTTACACCTCAGGGCTATAAAGTACATGCTCTCCAATACATAAGACAAGTCAATTAATCTATAATAAACTGACAAGTGCGACTTGGTAGCCCTTGCAGAAAGATACAGCACATCTCTGCATGATGGATGTATGTATATGTATGTACTCACCTATTTGTGGTTGCAGGTAGGTGTAGGTAGGTAGGTAGGGTGGGTGGGTGGGTGTGAGTGTGGGTGTGAGTGTGAGTGTGAGTGTGAGTGTGAGTGTGAGTGTGAGTGTGTGTGTGTGTGTGTGTGTGTGTGTGTGTGTGTGTGTGTGTGTGTGTGTGTGTGTGTGTACTCACCTATTTGTGGTTGCCTTAAAACTATGTATGGTTCCCGCCTCCACTTCGTCACTTTCTAGGCTATTCCACGGCCTGACTACTCTATGACTGAAGAAATACTTCCTAACATCCCTTTGATTCATCTGAGTCTTCAACTTCCAATTGTGACCTCTTGTGTCTGTGTCCCTTCTCTGGAACATCCCGTCTTTGTCCACCTTGTCTATTCCGTGCAGTATTTTATATGTCGTTATCACGTCTCCCCTGACCCTCCTGTCCTCCAGTGTCGTCAGGCCGATTTCCCTCAACCTTTCTTCATAGGACAATCCCCGTAGCTCTGGGACTAGTCTTGTTGCAAACCTTTGCACTTTCTCTAATTTCTTGACGTGCTTGACTAGGTGTGGGTTCCAAACTGGTGCTGCATACTCCAGTATGGGCCTGACGTAAATGGTATACAGAGTCTTGAATGAATTCTTACTGAGGTATCAGAACGCTATCCGTAGGTTTACCAGGCGCCCGTATGCTGCAGCAGTTATCTGATTGATGTGCGCCTCAGGAGATATGCTCGGTGTTATACTCACCCCCAGATCTTTTTCCTTGAGTGAGGTTTGCAGTCTTTGGCCATCTAAACTATATTGTGTCTGCGGTCTTCTATGCCCTTCCCCAATCTTCATGACTTTGCATTTGGCAGGGTTAAACTCAAGGAGCCAGTTGCTGGACCAGGCTTGTAGCCTGTCCAGGTCTCTTTGTAGTCCTGCCTGATCCTCATCCAATTTGATTCTTCTCATTAACGTCATATCATCTGCAAACAAGGACACTTCTGTGTGTGTGTGTGTGTGTGTGTGTGTGTGTGTGTGTGTACTCACCTAGTTGTACTCACCTAGTTGAGGTTACAGGGGTCGAGTCCAAGCTCCTGGCCCTGCCTCTTCACTGGTGGCTACTAAGTCACTCTCCCTGAACCATGAGCTTTATCGTACCTCTGCTTAAAGCTATGTATGGATCCTGCCTCCACTACATCGCTTCCCAAACTATTCCACTTCCTGACTACTCTGTGGCTGAAGAAATACTTCCTAACGTGTGTGCGCGCACGTACCATAAATCGTAAATATGCGAGTGCAATTTCCCTCATCCAGCAGTAATGGGGAAGATGAAAGCAAGAAAAATAAGTACAGTACAGTGGAACCTTGGTTTTCGTTTGCCATGATTTTTGTTTAATTTGGTTTTCGACAACTTTTTTCATCAAAATTTTGTCCCAGTTTTTGTTCATCATCTCAGTTTTTGTCGGTCCGCTGTACTGAACATGTCCACCTGCCCACACCCACACAAAGCATCCCACGCATTCCAAGTCAGTTTGGCTTTGTTCTCATTGAGTGAGCATTATCCTGAGCATTCATCCGAAACATTTCATAATAATCCATTGTTTTTTGTGCTTATTTATTGAGTGCAACTACTAAATAAGCCACCATGGGGACAAAAAAAAGTTCCAAAGTGCCAACCCTCTGATAAAGAAGGCGAGAAACATGATAGAATTCAACTGGGGCCAGAATGAGTCCAAGAGAAGGATTTTGAAGGGTTTGAGGTTGACGCTGACAACCCTATGCCTGTTGTGGAATCTATTGTGGGTTAGGGGAAGTCCATGGGGCTGGATGTGAGTGGCCAGGATGTGGAAGAGTTGGTGGATGACCACAGGAAAGAGCTAACCACTGAAGAGCTGCAACACCTCCAACTGGAACAGCAACAGATCACGGCTGAGGAAATTGCTTCAGAGGAGGAGGAAGAGAGAGGGGAGAATGTGCCTTCTTCAGTGATTAAGGACATGTGTCCAAAGTGGAGTGAGTTGCAAAGTTTTGTGGAGAAATATCACCCAAACAAAGCTGTTGCAAGCCATGTCTACAACATGTTCAATGACAATTCCTTATCTCATTTTAGGCAAATCTTAATGAGACCACAGAAACAGACCTCTCTAGACAGATTTTTTTGTGTGACAGGGGTCCAGTGCCAGCAAAAGACAAAGAAGGGAAGTAACCCCAGATAGAGACTTGATACCTGAAGTCGTTATGGAGGGGGATTCCCCTTCCAACCAATACCCTCTCCTTCTCCCTCTCCCCTCCTCACGTCTTCCATACACCAACGAGAGTCTTCAATAAATAAAAGTGATATTAAACTTCATTTATCCATTTCATTAGTCTTTCATATTTATTTCTCATCATTTTCTGTATGTAAAACTATAGTTATTCTCTATAAAATGTATTTTTTTTTTAATATTTTTGGGTGTCTGGAACGGATTACAGTGGAACCTCAAAAATCGAACTGCTCCCAACACGACCAATTATGTAAATGTATTTTTG